AGCAGGATGCCACAATTCCAGGGATGTATTCCCCTTTCTCATAGGCCCGGATGATGTCAGCCTGCCCGGACATTAGAAACATTAATGTTACACTAATGTAATGAGTTCAACATACCAAAAGAGTGGTGACCTGCTTTGTCAGAGCAAGGTGGACGTCCACTGAGCCGGCCAGGATGTGCCGGGCGCTGGCAATGATGCCCACAAGTTGAGCAGTGGATGCCTTGAGGTCGGCCAAGGAAGATTGAACTTGAGTAGACATTTGGATTGAGTTGAGAGATGTGAGAATGTTGAACGCAGGGTGAAATCTGTTATCACTAGAATGAAGTTTCAAAGAAACAATACAATTAAAGGATGATGTTGAAAATTGTTCATTGTTTGTGTTTGTTTGGTCATGGTTCAACTTTCGGCAATCGCCAGCCATCTGTTGAACTTCGACGTTATCAGTTATCAATCAGTTCATCAGTTCATCAGCTCATCAGATATCATGAGTTCTCAACCTGGGGTCAGATTTCATGACCCTCTGGTCACTGAATTCACTTCAATGGATGTGGATGAGTCCTCCCAGTCCCGGATGTCCCTTGGTATGTTTTGTTTTTTCTGATTTCAGTCAATTGATCTGACATGGTTTAGATCCATTAGATGATATATACCTTGGGCCAGATGATGAGTTAGACTCTGATTCTGGGTTGTCCGGTGGTTTGGATGTGTTGAATGTGATTCCCGGTATGTTTTCCAATTCAAATGGACATATTCCGCATGTGCAAATTCATGACATACTTCCAGATCCATCATCTCCAGCTCTGGCAGATGGACTGGCCCTGTACGATGACCCGGACTTGTATCTTGGTCCGGAGGATACCTTGATTTCGTCTGATGCTCCGGATGTACCCGACTTTCCTATGGCTGGTGAGGACATTCTTTCTATTTCATGTTCACCTTTCATGGCATTTCCCCAGTGAATGAATCGACTCCGGAGCCTCATCCGGCCACTCCGGTTGTACCAGAGGCACCCATACCTTGTAGGTATAGTCATATCATTTCATGTTCTTTACTCATGCTATCTCCCAAGCTATTTCAGAAACTGCCGAACGTCAATCGCCTGAGCCGGAACTCAACAATGAAGCACTGTGTGCCATGGTTCAGGAGTTCATGCCAATCAGATCTTATGATCAAGCTGAAGGTAAGTATGCAACATTTGATTATTTATCTCTGCTAATATCCTGCAAGTTCAATCAATTGTAGATCGCCTGGGTGATTACCAACAGCGTCATGGAGATCTTCCTGCCCCTACAGTAGCCCAAATTCTTGAGGCTGACAGACCATTCAGGATGGCATGGGCTGAAACATGCGACAAGCTGCGGAAAGCAGATGCTGACCTCCGGAGGATGCAAAGGGTAAGGGAGTCAACCTCCGAAATGCTGAAGATATTAGATACCATCATTGAGGCCTTTGAGGACTCAAGTAACATGTAAATATTGATCAATGTCTGATAGTAGACACATTGCAGTATACTTTACCTGCTAAGTACTTAATACTTGGTACTTGTATACTGTACCTACTCAATAGATAGTCCTTGGTACTTGTATACTCTACCTACCCAGTACTCGCTGACGCCCGATTCCATAACCACGAAACATGAACCATGAAACGCAAAATACTGACACATGCTATCTCCAATGCTCTGGATACCCTGACACCCAACACAGTTGCCAAGCTCCGGGTCGCCGAACCCCGACCTCCGAAATTCAGGACTCAGGACCTGGGCGTCCGGGACTCGGTATTCAGAACAGTGTTGAGTCCGGAGTCCACAATGTCGGGGCTCAGGGTTTTGTCAAATGTGTATGGCAATAACAAATGTTAATTTGAGCGTATTTATACATCTTCCCCCAGTCTCAAATATCACGTGCTGAGGTCCGGGTGTTGGGACTCAGTAACCCGGCACCTGGGACTCCCATATGTCAAGTCACGAGTTCCAATTATTGAATACTGAGGCTTGCATCCAAATTATTCAGTCCCACATATCACTTTGCAAATGCTCAAAATTGAGTATTGAGGTCCGGATAACTATTGGTACATGGTATTCATTTGTTGGAATGTATATAGGTCACAATGCTTGCTCTTTGTTTGATCTTTCACACGCTGTATGCACCATCCACACTAGCCCATCCACATAATGGAACACCAGCGTAAATGTGAACAGCATCCCTCATATACCATGCCCAAGCAATCCGATCCCCTTCCACATCATAAACTCCATGTCTCACAATCCTTCCAGAAAACGCAATCATACAGCCGGAATTGTACTTGAACTCCAGCTGAAGGTTTGGCATTGTCATCCGAGCATTAGAATAGTTCCCCACAGTGGTGAGAATGTCGAAGCATTCAGCAATGGACATGTGGTCTCGATGATGGGGGGTTTCCTGATTGGAAATGATGGAGAGGGTGTTAAACACGGATGCCCAGTACTGCAGGGCCTCCGGCATCTGTGGCAGATCCTTGCTTACTGCTATATTTCCAAGGTTTGACAAGGTTCTCAACCCTGCCCAGTACTGCTCAGGATGCATGACTCTGAGTGCCGCGGACGCGATGGCTGCTGGCCTTGCAATGGCTTTGAGAATATTCTCGCAGGAAGGTCCCTTCAATGATGCAGATACCTCTGGATCTGACACATTCTTTGGGATTGGTGAGTATGACTGCCGGAATCACCATCCCATCAGATCCTACCTCGTGTCCCTGTTGAAACCATGCCGGAGATAGATTGATGCATCCGGGAGTTGGTCCAACATCTTCCGAGCCCCGGTTGAACAACTTTTGATTAGTTCGCCAATTGCCATCAGCCCTTACACTTTTTTCGAGGCTTGGAGCGAGCAAATCGGTGGCCTCCCTGATTTCCTTCTGTAGGTTCCATTAATATTCAATATCCATTGAGTAACAATGTATATTACACACCTGGGTGGTGTCGGTCAGGGCGCCTGGGAGGTACCATGCAATGATGGCACCGGATGCATCGACAATTGTGGCAGGTTCGTCGACCAACCTTTTGCCTTCATGGCCAGGAGGACACCTCTCAAGCAACCTCGCCTCTCTATGTTCATTATGCCCGGTGTCCTTCAGGGAGATCAATTTGCTATATCTTGCAATATCCATCTGCATCTGAACTGTCATGCAGGAATTTGAATGATAAAACGAATTTTCCGAATCTGCACGAAGACCCACTGGGATTTTTATATGCCTTTATGAGTACATCAGCCAAGCGATCGCACGCCATCACCAGATCAGTGTCTAGGTTGGGGGAAGGTATGACTGGGCCTTCTCCAGTCTTCTCTGCCTTGAATTTCTGTTCGGTATATTCCCCTGCTTCATAAGTCACAGTCAGGGCCCAAGTGCGCCAGATGTTTATGCTATCAGGAGGGGAAGGGGAAGAACCATTCATGCTGGATGTTAATCTTGGGAAATCAGACGCTGAATGCTGGATGTCCGGACTTTGGTGTTATAGGGGGTGGAGATAGAGAGGATCAGATAAGGGAGCCTTGGATAATTTTGGCTGTCAAAGATGTATTATTATCCATTGCTCAATGAAATACTACCTGATTGGAAGTGTGCTGGTCATCAGATATTCATTTGTCAACTCCCGGGTCCCAGAACTCGGAAGTCGGTACGGTTGACCCATATTTGGGTGGTCGTAATTTGGCGTCTCGTAGGGCAACACAAGCTTCGCACAGCCATGTCAGGAGATCACCTGCTGGTCTGGGAACTCGGTAACTTTGATTTATTACCTCCTCTGAGTACGGTTGACTCACATTTTGGTGGTCGGAACTTGGCTTCTCGTAGGGCAACACAAGCTTCACACCCCGGATTCCACATTCTGCAAGACAACCTAAGCACCATCAAAGGCCATGTCAAAAGAGCACCTGCTGCTCTCTTCAGAAACATCTCAACTTCGGTTGGCCATTTAACACGGAAAGTATTAACCAAATTATGTGTTGAGTTCCGGGTCCCGGAACTCGGTACAGTTGACTCAAATTCTGGTGGTCGGAACTTGGCTTCTCATAGGGCAACACAAGCCTCGCACCCCGGATTCCACATTCTGCAAGACAACCTGTGCACCATCAAAAAGTATTAACTAAATTATGTGTTGAGTTCTGGGTCCTGGAACTTGGAACTCGGTACAGTTGACTCAAATTCTGGTGGTCGGAACTTGGCGTCTTGTAGGGCAACACAAGCTTCGCACCGCCATGTCAGGAGATCACCTGATGCTCCGGGAACTTGGTAACTTTGATTTATTACCTCCTCTGATTTGGTTGATGTACAACTACCTCAGCTCCATCATGTCTACAATTATGATACACATGGGCCCACTCATCTATATTTTATACCACCCTCGGCCCACCGGTCTAATTAATATGCATCTGGGCCCACCCATATAATACAATATTTTATAATACCCTCGGCTCACCTGTCTAATACAATATTTTATGATACCCTTGGCCCACCCATCTAATTTAATATGTGTCTGGGCCCACCCGTGAATGTGATAACAAGTACCTACCCATCTATCTCATACACATCTACCTTAATACACCCATCTGCATAATATCCAACTACCTCGGCCCACCCGTCTACCTAATATTCATGTACATCAGCCCACTCATCTACTCTATATATTCCCTGCATGGGCCCACCCGCCTCCATCGGGAATAATTTGCCTCCCAGCCCATCCATCATAGTCAAGGATATTGTTATCCTGGGCCCATGGTCCGCTGGCCCGTATCATACGGGATATTATGCATGTCCGTTCCCTCGTATTATATGGAGATAGGTCACTGTAATATGTGTTTAAGGCGGGCCAACGCGAGGTTGGTGAGAACCGTAGCATGGTCTGGATGGTTGACCGGACACTGGTCCAGAACCGACTGAAAATGGTTTACAGTGTTGTTCAGGTGAGAGACTTTCTCGCATCTCATGTATTTGGCAAATTGTTTGTGGCCCGCATCTGTGTCTCAAGCAATCTCGCAGTCTACAAGGGACTGCAGTTTGCATTATGTCAGCAAAAGCTAACACGACAGATACCAGCATCACTCACGTCAAACAGTGCATCATCCTGATCATCGCAAGCGTGTACAATGGCAACCTTCAGCTCAAGGGAAGGGTGGACACTGCGCACGGGTGGGAAGGATATATCTATGAGACGTTAGTATATGTGTATGAATGAGAAGCGAATCACTCACCAAATGGCTCATCTCCATGATCAAGCAGCTCATCCCAAGACATCTGAAGTTCACCGATGAGCTCTCCACTGCCTAGCGTTCGACCAAGCTCAAAGGACGCCCTGATCTCCACTGACAACACAGGTGAGGAGTGTAATGATCTATAAACCGATAATCAGTTCTTGCATAGCGCCCGAAAGTCTGCATGAACTTTACAGAGCGACAGAATTCGTCCACATTACAGATCTATCAGATGATAAGACACTAATGACTGATTTCCAGTGCCTACTGGAGTCAACATTGATGGATATGTAGATGCCAGCAGGAATGCGCTCAGAAGGGACTTGAATATTCTTTCCACTAAGAACTGTAGGTAGAGTGGGAAGATGATGAAACAGATATGAAGGTAATATAGAGGGACTCGCCTTCAAGTCTGATATATCCTTCTTCTAGGCCACTACGTGTGACTGTGGGACGAAACGGACGATGAACGACACACAGCATTTGAAATTGAGATAGGTTCAGAATGAGCAGTAGAAGGCGGAGGGTGGGTGGAATGAGTCAGACCATGGGTGTAGTTCGGCTGAGAAAGAGAAGATGTTACATTCAGGGTTAACCAGGTCATGCTGTGTATTTCCATATTGTCGAGGGCTTGTATTTTGTATGGTAATGCAAACAATGTTAAAACCACTGAAGACGGCAGCTGAATGATTGTATATGACTCATCCGATTGAGCTGATAGCGGGTGAGAAGATGATGTTGCCTGGACAGAGAAATTAGAAAAGAATGTCAACTTGGATGCAACCAACTGTATGAAATATTTACTATGTCATTGGCACCTGTAGGGAAGCCTTGAAAGCTTGAAGCTTGAAGCCTGAAGCTTGAAGGTGATGGGAATATATTAATGGGACATGTGAGCTTCAATGATGAGGGAGAGGACATCGACTTGAGGTGGCTGTCATTGATGTCATCCTCGGACTGCCAATTCAAATTTCTGTTTCAGTACAACTCCCGTGACCATGTTGCACATGTGACACAAACATCAGCTTCTGAGTCGGAATTATTTATAGTGGGTGTTTGACGCATAGTCGTACAGGTCCATCAGTGAACCAGTGAACAAATTAAAATGTAATAATTAGCTATATATAGTTAACAATCACAAGAATCTCCGTAAATCTGGTGGGGGGGTTTACCTTGTGATGTGTGACTTTATGAGGGCAGGAAGAATTCTTAGGTCAACCGGCCAAGGTGTCCTACCCTCAATGCATTATTTTATGTATAAATTGGTCTGCATATCGAAGACATTACCTAAGCCAACCAAGTACATTTTACATTGTTATTGGCGAGACAAAGCATCAAGGTGTCCTATCCTCATTGTATCATTTTATGTGTGAACTCACATGTAATTCAAAGATATGATGCCAGACAAACAAGTGAATTTTGCATCATGACTGTCCAGACAACGTGCCCAGTTCGCCACTCCCATAGGCAAGATGTCCTTGTGTGATGCTAAAAACCCTAAAATTATGTCCCACGTGAACAAGTCAACATACATCTCAACCAATAGGAGAGTCACAGAAGAAAATGCCTGTCTTTGGTACAACATCTAGCACTTAGGCATTCACAATTCATTCGCAAGGCTACACTGTATGGCCAAAGACAGAACATGTTCCCTAAATGAAACATTAAATATATTGCAAAGATTTTTCGAAAACTGTAAAATCATATCCTGCATGAACAAGCACACTTAAAAATTGCTGATATTCAACATCCTCCATTCACAAACCAATTGGCAAATACTAGCATGAGAGGTGCGTTTGAAAAATGAGACAACTGTGGGACATGTCAGCACACCAATATACTTCTCAACTGATAGGAGAGTGATAGAAGAAACTGCCCATCTTGGAGGTGTCATTCTGATGAATGGGCATTCACGACTCATTCCTTATGCCCCATTGTGTGACCAAAGACCGAATTTGCTACCTAACTGGAATGACACGCCACTTGACACCAGATTTTAAACATTATAGGAATTTTTTCTATTGGCAAAGCTATGGGCAACTACCACGAAGGTACTAAATTCTCAGATTGCTTTTGTGGGAGAAGTCAGAGCATTCTGATCCCGTTTGGCAAAGTCATATAATATGTGTTGTTAAGATACCGAATTGGCGGGGACACAACACTTGATGATATGGATACTGCTGAGCAAAATCATAGAGTTTTCAAGGAGATGACAAGCTATGTTCAGTGTTCAATTTAGCAGATACACCGGGTCATCACTCAGACAGGGACATTTTGAATCAGTTGTATATGTGCACCATGAGAACAGGCGATGCTAAGTCAGGAATTTGTTCTGCTGATTCTACTATTCATTGATATTTGTCTTCGTATTCTAATGTCTGCAACATTTTCTTCACCCACCCAATGCACCTATCTTCTGTGAGTATGTGAGCTGAATTTTTTCAGTTCGAGAATGTGGTTGATTCCCTCAACTGAGGTTTTTCTATTTAGAACATGTGCGGCGGTCCATCACACAGCCACGCAACATATCTTCTGCGGTGCAGTCGTCGCTACAGTTATATAAAGTAAAAAGTTCGTTATTGCTTGCTAGCATTAGATGGTACAATACATTTAGTTATAGTGAGCATATCACATAGTATATGATTTGGACTGTCAACCTATCCTCTACAGTCAGAGATTGTGGAACACTGCTCGAACCAAGAGCATTTTAGTGAAAGAGCAGCATTTCTGGTTAGTGCGGTCTTCACCACGGTCGTATAAAGAGACACTTTCCTGGTCACTGGGCAGCATTGGACCTTGCATTAATTTTCATTGCGATCATCATGTTTAACAGTATTAATTGTCATTGAAAATACCTCAAATGACTTGCAATTCTAAACAGATAATTTGATTCGATAATGACTCACAATCACGCAGTTATAGTGTGCAAATATGAATTCATATGCGCAGTAGGGATTATACGATACATTGTAGGTAAAGGAAGAGAAGGAAGTAGACATGAATGTGGACATCTTGGATCAGTACTAGGTGCAGTGGAGACCACAAGGGGTGCGTGTAAAGGAAGGGGGTTAATATAGCGAACGGCAAGAACATGGGACAGAAAGAGTTAGTAGCTTCAGTCAGAGTCAAAAGCGGCGTCCTCCATCGCTTTCCTCTGCTGGGTTAGTGTGTTGATGGACATATGGAATACAATGTCCGGCATCAGATCTTCATGATGGTTTGTTCCAAAAATCTTTCTAGATAGAATGTCAGTTATCCGGGCTGCTACATAAGAAACAACAAAGTCATTACCTAGTCCACCATTCGAGAAGCTTATTCATCCTTCATTGTGCGGCAGGGCCAGGGACATCCTCAAAGAAGTCCACAATGTTGTTCCAGAAGACTTCATAATCAAAGTCGCTGTCCATGGTGCGCCATGATGAGACACCTGATAGAGTGAAACGTACCTGCCATACAAAAGTTAGATGCTAGACATCCAAATAGTAGTTAATACGATCTGCTTACTTGACAAATGACATATGCGATGGCACGAGGCGTGACCTTTCGCATGTTGATGATCAAGGCAACGCACATTTTTACCTTAGTATGATCTGATTTTTGCCGGGCACGCCTGGTGTTCTCAAGAATGTCGGCTCCATCACCATCGCCATCAGCTTCCTTCGCAGAAGAAGGTGATGTAAAGATGGCCTTGAAAGCCTAGGGCGCAGTGAGGAAAAACAGTAACAAAGCAGTAGTACCAAGCCAACTAACCAGAACCAAAAGCTTGGACTTGAGGAAACCTTCTTCAAGGTTGTCACAGTTGACTTTGTAACCCTCACAAGTGAACATCAGCCAAGAGTTCTCCGACATGATGTAATCTGTCGTTTGATCGCAGATACCAGCCTTCATGCTACCCAAACATCAGCATCATGCAATGCTCGACAAGTATTGGTGCTCACCGGTCATTGTTTCAGTCCCACTCACTAGGGCAGAGCAACGCCCAACAGATATCACTTGTAAAGCCTCATGAGTGCTTGTCGTGAGGCTTGATCAGCGGAGATGGTCAAAATTCCTGATTAACCCATGCAGTGATGAGCTCCTTGAGGCAGGAGGTATCATTGCCACGTGCGGCATCTGCTCCTTGTTTTGAGCTAAAAGACAATTAGACAAATTCTTTGCAAACAAATATTACATACCTTTTTTAACATATCTTCGGATTCTTCATGTTCAAATTCTCCAATCTTCTCATGAAACCATGGCAGTGTCCACAAGAGTTCAATGTAGCCCCGTTGCATGCAATCCTGCCTGTATGATAATACAATTCATAAAAATGGTAGAGGAAAGAGTCAATGACGTACTCCAAAGTTGATACCACATTGTCTGAGCGATGTTCATACCTGTGATCATTCTCGTTGACCAAGTCCTCCAAGCTAGTATAGAGGCAGACCATGCGACAAACGGCCCTGCCTTGTGCAACATACTAGCTGGTCTTTCTTCAAGAATAGGTTAATATTAGCAAGTGCGACGGGTAACATGCATGATACACTTACCTCTGTTTGCCTCCTCTCTCTTGCCTCATCATCTCAAGCTCTTCTTCTAAGGCAGCGATACAATGTTTTGCCCTTGCACTAGAAGAGGTAGGCATCGCTTGGGATGGATCTGGGTGTACCAGAGGTAAAACTTGGCATTCGGAACCGTCATCAGAGTCCTGATCAGACGGTGACTCGGAAGGCATGGCGGGATAGAGTGACTGGAAGAAGTGAGGTAATGGAAGAGCAAGGTGAAGCAAACCAATGAGGCGGAGTAAGCCAGAAGGTAAAGGAGAGACAGGGAGAAGCTATGGTGAGGGAACAAGTTCAATGGGAGAACAGAGCGAATTGAAGAGACCTTTTAATATGTTCGGGGATTGACATGATAGGAAAACTTCCTAAATAGGATAATTACCAGCAGCCGGCCCACAAAAAAAAACTCGCCAGTTCCACCCTGGATGTTATATGGCTCCGATCAGAATACGGTAAGCTGAATAACACAACACAGCAAGATGATGAGAATCTGGACAAAAGCCATACCATTCTGGTCAGCAGACCTGTCGCGCACCAATTAGAAAAGTCGTGTATGCCATGGTTGAAATTCGCCACCTGGGAGGCTGGCCTTTAGCGAATTGCACGATGAATCTGATCATCAGAGAGGAGAAGAGAATGATGCCGGTAATGCTTCAAATCTTTGCAGGACAGGGACTCTTTGAGCTCGTCGGGGAACGAGTCTCCATCGTCTGCGGATCTGATAATGTGCATCAACAACGGCTCACGCATGGACCTGATTGATGACCGACCTTTGCAACATGGGCATACGAGAGACTCGATCATCCTGAAGCTCATCATGCCCAAGTGCAGTTAATGACTCCTTCTCACTAGCAATTCCAACAGTCGTGCCGCCGACCTTCACACTCACGCCACCATCACTCTTCTTGACACCCAAAGCAGGCGTTATGATAGGCTTAATCTCTACCTGCACCACAAACCCTTTTTCATGCAAATCATTAAACCACTGAGGCTTTGGAGGTGCCGTCCTGATTTCACTCGTAAGTGGATCTTTTACCGTAGACACCTGATATTGGGCTGTGGGCAAAGTCAACCTTAGGAGATGTTGCAGTGGCCGATTAGCATTCAGTCCTGATGAGTGCAGTGGCGAAGCAGGAATGGTGTATACATTTGAACTGATGGGTAGGTTGGTTGTACTTGCACTGGGAGCCAGTTCCATGCCGTTCTCACGGGAGATTTCGAGGGAGATAAACTTTGCATTGTCTTGTGGATGAGGTGTAATAAGAACTTTGTAGCCCACTGGATAGAGTTTTGAGTCTACAACAATTTCGGCAATGAGAAGATCTGTGGAATGTCTGATTTCACCCTTCAACGTAAATGCAGAGGATGATTTCAAGGGCTCAGAGGTAGAGCCTACAGAGGCTGAAGAGGTCCTGCGAGGATATGGCGTGGATGAAGGAATCGGAGATGGAGGGAGTTCGACTGAATTGTTCACCTGAGCCTCAGGAGTAGGACCAAGAGTTGGCAGACCCACTCTGCTCAGCCTAGCAGTGAGATCATCAGGTTTACTTGATATGGTACCGGGCATCGTGAGCAACACAACACTGCAATGTGTTTGTGTTACGACGTGTGTCGCGTGCGGACTGGGATGATCTAACAGCGACGATCACAAACAGTGATATCTCGTGCTGAGAGTCCGAGGTCGGCTTCCACAGAAGAGCGGAAGTTGCGTACGTTCACGGAGGCGAACGATGATAGCGGTTTACAGGCAGAAGGGGTCTCAAGTCCTTCTGAAGGTACGGATCTGATGTCAAGCAGGTAGCTTTAGCAAGACAAGGAGTTCAAGGTAAAACCCAGTAGGATTAAAGTAAGGAACATCTACTTTAATCCTCGACCTTATATAAGGCTACTCTATCGTATCTAAGCTCAGCTTGAAGCTGGGTTCTAATCTGCTTATCTATCGAGTCAGAGATACCATGCATGAGGCAGGCTTCTATCTAGGATAAGGACCGCGAGGCGTCCTTCTATCAGTACATGAGGCAACACGAGGCTTGCCTTCTATCTTGATAACATATATAGGTTTTCTAGACCTATGTCGTCATATCATGTAAGCGATCCAGATCGCTTACCTAATCCGGCATCTTCCGGACTTCTCTTCTATTCATAATCTATCATCAAGGCCTAAAGGCCCGGTTATCGTATCGTTGCCGTGCGAGGTGGCAGAGGGCTGGTCGTGTAGCTGGGGGCTCACGTAGTGACTGTAACATTACCCCATTACTACGCACAAAGTCACCGGCTTTGTACATCTTAAACGTCTTCCTCCATTGTAGCAACAAGTGGTGCGGGGGTTGCTGACGTGGAGACGGAAGGTACTGAGGGAGTTTCGGGGGCAGGGGAAAGTTCAGTGGGATGCTGAAGTTCTAGATCCGCGAGTGCCTTGTGGTTATGCTCCCAATCTAAGAGAGCTTCGAAAAACTTCTCTTCATCGCTAAACTCTTGGAGTACAATGCGTCCGTTGAGTCGCGGGCAGTGGACCGACAGATGGTCAGGCCCTAGTTCATCGCAGATGCAACAAACATAATCTGGACATCTTCTGAACTGATGTCCGTATCCTCCGCAGCGCTTGCAGAGCGTCCTACGGGTTCGATCTATGGTAGCCGCCTTTCTTCTTAGCGGGCGTACCGGGCGGGGTTCTTCTATAACGGGCTTCACTTCAACTTCTTTTATCGCTAGGTCGGTGATATCAGAGAAGTCGAGGGGGAGTAGGTGAAGTGCGAAGTTTCTGATCCGCCGTTGCAGATGAAGTATAGCAAGTTTCCGAGTTGCTTCATCAAGGTCAACACGATTGGCTACATCTTCCAGCAGCTTCGTGGTTCGTATAATGCAGACGGTGAGGGAGGTGCTCGCCGCAGTTCTGGCGTCTTGTTCACCAAGGATTTTGTCGATCGCTTGGGAGTACGCGGGGGTCAGGATAGCGGCTTCATTGAACGCGCTATTTTCTGTCATCCTGAGGACGATCCCGTAGTCGGAGTCCTTCAGTGTAGTCTTGATAGAGTCGTTATCGATGGAGTTTGTCATGATGATGATGGAGGTTCGTTGGGAGAGATGTTCGGGGATCGAGAGGGTTTATAACCTTCTTCCAGATCAATCCAAGCTCCGATTCATTCTAAACTTATCTTTATCGTTATCTCTTATCGTCTTTATCTAGCCATGAGGCTAACTCGTGTTCAAGATTCTTCTTCGCTATCAGAGGGAAAGTGCCGTGATAGGTACTATCATCCTTTATCTTTGTTTGAAAGATCAGGTCGTCATCAGAGGGTGGTCGTCATTGCCATGATGGGTTCTAGAGGGTTCCAAGGGCTTGCAGGAGTTTCCGTGGAGTTCGTTTCGTGATAGTTTAGCCTCGTTCCGGAGGTCTGATCTTTTTATCTTCTGTAGAGATCTATTTCTAGATTCTTTATTAGATGTCGAAGGTGGGGGTCCGAGCGTGGGTGCCAAGGCTTGCAGGAGTTTCTTGGGGTCGTCCAGCGGGGAGATCGTCTTCTATTACCCTTTGTTTATATATGGTCTACTCGGGTGGTCGAAGTGCAGTGATGTGAGGGGTCCCGAAGCTTGCAGGAGTTTTTCCGGGGTTCGTCCTTGTTCATCGTCTAGTTTTATGTCATTACGGGCAATCGTAGTTTAGGGTCGTTCCGGACCTTATCTAGTTTTAGGTCGTTCCGGACCAACGTAGAAGTTGGTCGAGTTTGGGATTGGTGATCAGTGTTCAGGGTGGAGTAGGCGTGGAAGAATAAGTAAAATGGAGGATTTCACCCCCTTACTAAGCCATTAGTCACCGACTAATCATATCCAATCAGAAGTCTAGGCCAGGGAGCGGGCCGTCGTCTTCAAAGTCGTTTCCTTCTGAATCTACCATTCGCAGATCATGCGAAGAGGGTGCATCTTTGTCTTCATCCTCGTCATCCTCGGAGTTGTCCATGTCGATAAATCGGACAAAACTGGGCCCGGCGTCTTGTGCTTCCTTTTTTATTTCATTTTGACGATATGCTTCATGGATTGAAGCGATTCGTTCGATGAAAATATCCTGGGCTTCTTGTAACACAGGAGGGAGTTCGGTGTCTGAAGATAGCGTCATTGCTTCTTCGGAATTATGCGCGGGTGTCGTGGAGAGGTTGAGGGAATTCGGCGGTTCATCGGCGGTTAAATATGCCGGTTCGGGGTCTTCCTCCATTGCAGACTCAGGACTTTCATAGAATCTGAGTTTCTTGGCGGTGGGGGGGTCTTCGATTCGGACTGCTCGTCCTTTTCCGAGAACGGATATCGGTTCTCCAGAAAATTCGAATCTCTGAGTTATTTCTGGTTCAGGGGCCAGTCTGGGCGCCTTGGATACAGGCGGTTCTTCGTTCATTATTGCACGTCCCTTCCCAAGGACTTGTGCAGGCTCTGCCGAGAATTCAAATCGGGCAGGTGCGGGATCTTCTTCAATCTTCATCGGCTGAACAGCCGGTACAATCTTCTTCGTTCGTGGCGGTTCGGGATAAATGTGGTCAGATATCAGCGCCGGTCTGGAAGTCTTCTTCTGAGTTGTCTCCGGATCAGTGGCCGGTCTTTTCTGTTCATATTTTTTCGCTGCAAGGTCGATTCTTGGCAGTGAGTCTTTCTTCGTCACAGTTTTCGCGGGCTGTGGTGCGGTTTCTGAAGGTTCAACGGGGGTTCCGTTCTGCGGCTCTTCGTGGGCCGGTGCAATTCGTGTCGTTCGGGCTAATGGTACTGTGCCCGAAGAGAAGGTGCGGGGAGTAGTCGGGGATGCCGATCGTTTCCTCTTCAATGCTACCTTCTTTTCTTCTTTCAGGAAGAGGGGCGTCTTGCCGTTCTTCTTCCGATCAGAATCTATTTCTTTCTGCTTCTTTCGGGAATCTGCGGTACTTCTGAGGGTTACCGTGCCGGTTTTCCAATTGATCAGGGGGTTCTGGTTGGTAAGCCAAGGTCGTCCAAGCAGGAACTTGTCTTTCGGACCAAGTTCGGCTAGGTAAAACCTTTCGGAAATTACCCGTTCATCGATCTGGAAAGTAAGGTTGCAAAACCTTTCTATTGGCTTCTTTCCGAAGCAGGATCCGTCAGCGTTTGAGAGTGTCAGGGGGTTCTCTAGCTGGTGCGTCAAGATGTGGTGCTGCGTGATTATGTCCTGGTTGACGAAGGACTGACACGCCCCAGAATCTATGATCATAGATGTCGCGATGGGGTTACTTCTTGTTCTGGAAATCAGGGTGGCGTTCACCCGTAGATCATCCTTAGCCCCGGCTACTTTGATAGTGTGCAGGGGTTCTTCTTCGATCATCTTTCTCCGTGAGGTTCGGGTCCATTGAGGACAGCTCGCAGCTTTGTGTCCGATGACGTGGCACACAAAACATTTCTTCTCTCGCAAACAGAGGCGAGTCTCCTTCCCGGTGAGGTGTGCGGCGGTGAAGGTGTTTCTGGTAGTTGCCATATTGTAGATGGTTTCTACGATCTTCGTGGTATCCTTTTCTTGGAGCTTTCCACAGTGACGGCGGTTCTTATATTCTTGCGACTGGTCAGGCCGGTACGATCAGGGTTCTAGATCAGGGATATGAAAATCCTTTCGGGATCTGGGTTCGGGGTTCTACGAGTGTCGGTAACGTTGACAGCAAGTGCGATCAGTTATCTTGTAGCCTGTGATGGAGGCGTACAATAAGGGGACTTTAATCCTTTGTTACGACGTGTGTCGCGTGCGGACTGGGATGATCTAACAGCGACGATCACAAACAGTGATATCTCGTGCTGAGAGTCCGAGGTCGGCTTCCACAGAAGAGCGGAAGTTGCGTACGTTCACGGAGGCGAACGATGATAGCGGTTTACAGGCAGAAGGGGTCTCAAGTCCTTCTGAAGGTACGGATCTGATGTCAAGCAGGTAGCTTTAGCAAGACAAGGAGTTCAAGGTAAAACCCAGTAGGATTAAAGTAAGGAACATCTACTTTAATCCTCGACCTTATATAAGGCTACTCTATCGTATCTAAGCTCAGCTTGAAGCTGGGTTCTAATCTGCTTATCTATCGAGTCAGAGATACCATGCATGAGGCAGGCTTCTATCTAGGATAAGGACCGCGAGGCGTCCTTCTATCAGTACATGAGGCAACACGAGGCTTGCCTTCTATCTTGATAACATATATAGGTTTTCTAGACCTATGTCGTCATATCATGTAAGCGATCCAGATCGCTTACCTAATCCGGCATCTTCCGGACTTCTCTTCTATTCATAATCTATCATCAAGGCCTAAAGGCCCGGTTATCGTATCGTTGCCGTGCGAGGTGGCAGAGGGCTGGTCGTGTAGCTGGGGGCTCACGTAGTGACTGTAACAGTTTGATTGGCAGGGTTGAAAGTCGACACGATCGGCTTCTGATTGTTGTCCTTCTTCCTTAATCTCCAAGTAGGGGCATTAGCTCCAGTGCCATCTTTCTGTTCCGCCAAGACAACACCTGCTGCTGGAAGCCTTGTGTATGGCATGGGTGAATTGACGCGAAAGGCACCCCTCGAATGACATGAGAGTAATCGTAGTTGTGCATGGGGATATCCGAGTATTCAAGCGATTTGGTATCAGTTGCACGAGCTAGGTATCAAATGAGCACCAATATCCCTCAAATATGGAGACAGACTTACAGATCAATGCAAGACGGACAGTAACAGCCCGCTCAAGATCACCAAGCACCTTCTCCAAAGCATATGCTGCAATCTTCCCATTCTGTGCAAGCATGACAACCTCTTCATCATTGAGTGTTGCAAGAGCTGCTGACACAGGACGAGGTCCATTCTCAAACACCTCGATGCACTGTTCCAACGATCGAATGGGGAACTGAATCGGCTGGTCCTCTCTTGGTGCAGGTGCAGCTTGTGTACAGAGCTTCATGTCAAGCATTTGTGCAGATACACCGGTGGTAGCGGGAATTGCAATGGGTGCAAGGACCCGCATAGGGCGGATAGCAAGGGGACAAACGATAGGCTTCTCTGAATCTGAAGAACTCGGCAAGGAAGGCTTCGAATCACCAACTATGAAGGATGAGCGTCTGCGTCCACCAACAGCCCTAACTCCAGGGGTCACTATGTCCTCATCATCCTTTTCACGTTTCTCGGCAATGACCAACCTAAAGCGCACATTGTTGGGCTGCAGTCCACGCATGGCACCCTCAGCAATGCCCTTGAGAAGGTAACCGTTGAGTGCCACACTGACAGCGAGGACAAGGACAATTCATTTTGATAGAATGGGGTCGCCGATGAGTGTTGTCCAACCAGTCATGAAGTTCTCGATCGCCTCAGTAGATCTGAATAGTGCGCAAGGACGAACCGGACCTGGTGGCATGACGCGAATGTACAGGGGCAGCGCGATCTTGACAAGCAGATCGGTAGGTGCGGACACGTTGGCTTCAGCTTATACTTCTACTTGAAGAGTGGCATTGATAGCAGCAGGGTTGGCGAGGACACTGGCAATAGCAGGAGAGGTTATGTCAACTCTGTGTCACACCGAATAGTCGGCTCTTGCAGAGTCAATCAAGGTCTGAGTCTGGTACCTCGAAATGGTTGCAGGAGTGAGCATGGTTGTGAAGTTGAGAATGTGCACAGTTAGGAAGGATACGATCTATTTAATTGGACATCAATATGACAGGAAAGGAGGTCAGGTGCAGCAGTGACGTACAAGAAGAAGTTTCAGACGTGCGAGAGGATTCTCTTCCTTAACTTCTGGCGGTGGGCTGTTCTTCTGTCTGAGCATGGAACCCTTGACACCCAATAGGGTTTCTGATAGCTGACGGCTAAGACTGGCGTCCTGGACTTGAGGGGGCGAATGGACGAGCGCACTTGGCTTGCGTTCACTAAGATTATTCAAGCTCCGGGATCTTGTCATATCACGAGCAGCTTTGATCCTCCGAACCTAAAACAATCAGGCACCATGAGCATTGTTCTGGAGAACAATCAGAGAAAGAGCCATGTTGACCCTAACCCAGTTGATCCAAAAAAGTAAATTGCATGATCACTAACCTCAACCATAATTGCCAACATCGCAGCATAGAAGGTGCCAAATAACACACAATCCAACGTCAGTGTCAGTGCCACAAGTGCACAGAACTCCTTCAGACCACCAACTTTACTCTTCGCTCCCATGGAGAGGACCGCGATCTCAAGCGCATAACCACGTAAGATGGCATTACCGCTGTTTTTGATCGCTTCCATAACTACTTCACCAGCAGGTTTCATCTGGCCACACCACCTGCCCTCCTTAACTGGAGACAACAGATGAGGATGGTTGAACACTGCAGCTGCCAGATGGAGGGGCTTATCAAAACCAACTGTGCACACAAAGAAAGGTAGAGCTTCAGTGAGGCTGATTGGATCCAAAGGAATCTCGAGGTAATGCGAGATAGGAAGAGCGAGCATGAATGCGAGGATAGATGATGACAATATTGCAAGGCTGAGCTTCAAGTTGGAACCAAGCGCATGAGCTGAGAAGAACAGGCGAATGAATGATGTGTGCATGAGTATGTAGCCAATGAGAACGAGCAAGATGTCCAGTGAGTCGGCTTTCTAGATTGTAGGTGAGCATGGCAAGAATATGACATAATAGGCTTTGGACTGCTGACCTTGGTAAACTCCCAGAACCGCACAATAAGGGTCCAAAGTTGAAATGTTTCCGAAAGTTTCAGCGCATACGCGACATCATGATTTATTAATTGGGTTGTGTGATCCTTGACTACCGCCAATCATTTACCCATATGGTAAATTTCCATATTAGGCCACCACAACTGAAGTAATCTACTTAGAATTTTTTGTAGCGCATTGAAGTACAGTACTAGTGAGAGCAGTAGTACTGAAATACGGACAAGCCTACTTTTCTTCTAATTCAGAAAAATCTATGTAACTATTCCACATGCTGGAATGTAAGTCCTGATGCAAACCTGTGAGGTGGTCCGGAATGCTGGGTTCAAGGTCTCGAGTAAGTTGTGCCACTAGCCAAGCCAATTCCTCCTCATCTGCCACGGTTTGGGGTTGCAGTGATAGTCGTGGCAGGGATGGTGGGAATGGTGGGAGGAATGATAGCAGGGACGGGGGGAGGAACAACAGCGGGAGGAACGGTAGTGGGGATGGCGGGAGGAAAGGTAGTGGAGACAATAATGGGGATGGTGGTAAAGATGGTGATGGTGATGGTGATGGTGATGGTGATGGTGATGGTGATGGTGATGGTGATGGTGATGGTGATGGTGATGGTGATGGTGATGGTGATGGTGATGGTGATGGTGATGGTGATGGTGATGGTGATGGTGATGGTGATGGTGATGGTGATGGTGATGGTGATGGTGATGGTGATGGTGATGGTGATGGTGATGGTGCTGCTGCTGGTGGTGGTGGTGCTGCTGCTGCTGGCGGTGGTGGCGGCAGCGGTAGTGGGTTGTAGAAATGATGTTTGTCAGACTTGTTGCGGGGCACAGAGCCTTGAACACCTATGCTGCGCAAGTACTGCTGGCGGCGGTTACGGTTATCCTGAGACATCAGTCTCATCGCTGGATCGAAAGCAACGTTGATGAACGGGTCTTTGCATGCTATAACATATCATGAGTCAAATATGTTCAATCAACGACAAAAAACGCACTTGGGGGCATCTTCAACGATCACAATGAAGAGGTACGGTAGTCCCACTACTAAATTCAATTCTGTCAGTGAGTATTTAAAACATTTGAGTTATGCTAGTATGTAAAATACTCATGGCTAAAATCGTAATGTTAGGGTTCATCGGTTCAACCTATGGCGGCTGCCGAGGAGTCGGCTCTGGTAGAGAAGAAGCCATTAGTAGGAGCATTGAGCGAAAGGTGTGCCCTTCAACGACTCACCAGGTGTTTCTCAAGCAGCACATCATGTGGAGGGAGTGAGGTGTCAAACTACCTTTAGATTATCATCAGAACCCACATCAACACATATGAATAGGTAAACATACCGCGAGCAGCAAGTCCACCCCAAATATCCACCAGTTATGCTCCCTCACATCTTCCAATGGCTTCTCCGACTTACACCTCTTGTCATTGTCCATATTTTGACTGTCTATCGTCATCTGCTGGTACATAATCAATACAAGTTGCTCCCAGTCGAAATAAGAGAAAATGATCATACAGTGATCAGGAGCATCAGGACTTACTTAATCCTATGCGATAAACTCGCTCGGTGCAGAGACAAACAGAAGGGCGAGCTACGTCACCCGGCAGCCAGAAAGTCTGTTTTTTTTCAATGAACGACAGGACAGTAGTAGCAGTAGTCTGAGTGCAAAGCTGACTAATGGAGATTGCCAAAAGATTGGATATTTGTCAGCAACAGCACAGAAGGAAAACAAATTCGACGTACCGCACTTTGAGGTGAATAATAACGGTTCTCAAAGTCGAACATAGAAAAAAATTCACAGCAAGATTTTGCGTTGCCGGTACGGCATGTTCAAACTCCGCCCTGCCCTGTCACTCGACATCGTCATTACTGGCGTCGATGGTGCCAAAGATTCAATCCGATCACCAATCGTTGTCGTAATAAACGCCCTGAATCATGTCACGCTCTGGACAGAGAGGTCGAGGTGGTGGAGTTCGAGCCGGTGTGTCCGCCAGTACGGACACTGGGAAGAAATGCACTATTCATTGGGAGGGGGTTCGTAGCGCTCGTACAGAACGTCTCCTTGCCTGGTGCAAGGAAAACGAAGATGCACGGATCAAGCTGTTCTCCGATTCTGCAAAGGATGCGAAGGAGCAAGGTCGGAAGAAGAAACAGAGCGGAACTTCGAGAGATACCTTTTATTCACAGGTCGCACAAGCCGTATTTTCGAATGACGAGGATCCGGAGGTCCAACGACTTTTCAAGGAGGACCCAAAGGCATTTATCAAACCAGTTTCAACTCGTTTCGGCACGTATGTATCCCGTTCCTGCATTGTTTCTCCTCCCACTAGAATCACTGATCAGATGTTTTAGGCTCAAGAAAAAATATAACGAGTTCAACAAGGAGCTCAAGCAGTCAGGAGCCGGAAAGACATATGCAGAGCTGCAAGAGGATCCAACGATGAAGTCGTTGATTGGTAAGTTTTAGCCGCTGTTGAACTGCACATGTCTTAATCGTATCTCTGTTAGATACAAAGCTCGAAAAATTTCCCTGGTGGCCTGAGCTTCATGGCTGGTGGCGCACAAACCCAGCTTTCAATTACGCCTTCTCTACAGCGGATACAGGGCAAGATTTTGCGTCCGCTGCATTAGAACATTTCGCTATCTCAAAGCAACCACAAGCACCGGCCGCAGGCGACGATGACACTCACACAGATGAGGATGCCGAGGACGGAGAAATAGTTGAGATCAGCGCTCATACTACAGGTGATGCTGGCATTATAGATGCACCAGATGATATGATGGTTGACCAGCCCCCCTCCATGGAGTCATTCGAATCACCGTTGTCAGCACCATCCCCGCTGTTATTTTCGGACCATGGTCCTAGCGACACGCCCAACTCATTCTCACTCGCTCCATTACCACACTGGTACCAACGACCCCAACCTCCTCCCATCACAACTTCCAACACACACAGCGTGATATCGCTGAACTCTCCTGAGCGCTCACCAGTACCCAATCAAAGCACCACCCACAATTCACCTTTCTTTTCTGATTTCAAGGAGTCATCAGCTAGCCCTCAATCCACACCCATTGACTCGGAAGATTCGGACATTGGTGCTAGCCGAGCGCTGCAGTCTCTTCGCGTCAGCTCACTCAAAGGAAGTCGCGCAAGTTCACCCTCTCTTTCTACAAAGCAGTCTCGTGCACGTGCACCTACTCAGAGTGCTTCACCTCAATCTAGTCGCCCCCCCTCTTCATCATGCAAACGCCCTGGTGGCAGCACTCTCGATCAGACCTCTGCCGCTGCAGATAGGATGTCTCAGACGGCAGATTCCATAATGACGCACCTTAACAGCAAACGTGAGGATCGTGTGGAGCACGAACGCTATAAACGCATGAAACTTGAGACCGAAATTTGGGCTCGTGATCTCAAGGCCCGCAGTGCTCGTGATGAGCGGGAGCATGCGATGCGTCTATCTGACCAAGATCATCAGCACCAGCAGGAGAGGATGACTCAACAGATGGAATTTGCAAGAATTGAGATTGAGCTATCTCGTGCACGTCGGGAGGAGGAGGAGGCTCGAATTCGTCGTATTGCTTTGGAGCGCGGTCTTGATCAAAACTAAGTAGGTTTGCACTATGTTGTCACGTAACAGGTTTTCAGGAAATGCATTCCATGTTGTACTCGATGGTGCCAACTCAGAGAGCTCACTAAAACGCTCCTTTCTCGAGCAAATCTCAAGCACAACTGACCCCTCCTAGAGCTCGCCAAAACGCTCCTTTCTTGAGAAAATCTCAAGCGCTACTGACCCCTCCTAGAGCTCGCCAAAACGCTCCTTTCTTGAGAAAATCTCAAGCACTACTGACCCCTCCTAGAGCTCGCTAAAACGCTCCTTTCTCGAGAAAATCTCAAGTGTGACCTTGCGAGCCAAAAGGAATATGTATAGGTACAAGTACATTTAATATAATACTAACTACCTTCGCTCCAACGACGAAAGCAACCGCGTCTTTAACGTGTTACGAAAATCCTGCCCCACAGTTCCAATGTAAGTCTGATCACCTACTGCGCCACCCTGTTGCTGATCATCCTCTCCTCCGTCACCGTCAGCTCGCCTCAATCTCCGAGTTTGCTGATAGAAGCATATGTTCGAGTCTTCGCGGTTTTCTGTTTCCTCAATTTCAACAATTAAGTTGTGCAGAATGAAGCACGAACGGATCCACATGTTCGCGTAGTCGAGGTCCTTCTGGCTTTGGATTGGGATGCGAAGCTCCCGCAGTGATTGGAACCGGCCCTTGATAGAGCCGAAGAAGTGCTCTGAACGAACGCGGACCTAGACACTGGGTGAGGACGACAAAAGTATATTAGTACTGATGCTCACTGTTGACAGGTTATAATTGAATGTCCTTTGCTCGGCCGTCAAAGACCCTCCCGCTGGCCGTTTGTACGGCGGCACACACCAAATTCGCGCAGCATACGCCGAGTCCGCCCACAACCACTCTCCCGCACCAAAAAACGACTCGGGATGCCGGGAGACCCTCGTTCGTGCAAATACGTTCGAGTCGTGAAGACTCCCGGGTACGCCAATGACGTAGTCAACGATACGCAGATTATGAGGGAATATGACGACCTTTTGGATTGTAAGTCGCTGTGCTGCACACTGAGCCGATAGTAGATACTTACCTGGGCTGTTAGAGAGTAGTCAGAGTTCTTGTCAAAGAACCCTTCGCCGTGCCAACCGGGCTTCTCGTGTAGAGGGGACGGAGTCCCATCTACACAAAGGAAACCGCCGCGCCACTCACGACATGTCTTCTGCTCCACGTACGCTTTTGCCCGCTCTCGCTCAATCTGGTCCTCACGATCGAGCGGATCAAAATGTATGGCGCGATCATGCAGTTGCAAGATCGCGATCATGACTCGCTTGTAGCAGTTGTAGATGGTCCCTACGGACACTCCAGCCCAATCGGATATGTCTTCAGTAGTCGCAGCATTGCCATAATGGCCGACACCATTGAGAAAGATCGCAAGCTGGACGGCGACAGGAAGTTGTGGATTATTTGAGTTATTATGGAAAATGGGGTGGGCTTGGATTAACGTTGTGAGTTTGTTGAATACCTCTGCATCAACGCGAAGCTTGCGGCGAAACTTTTCAGGTGAGAGCAGCGCCCATTCTTGCAGCAGGTGTAACTGCGGTGCGCGAGTCAGAGATGGACGCACGTCAAGTACCCGACACTTCTCCACTTCATCATGCAGTGCCCCGATCGCATCAATAAAGTGCGTAAACACTTGATCGCACATGTCTGGGATATCGAGTGATAGGACATCAGAATATGCTGTTGAAAGCGAGGTTACTAGAGAGCTGATGGACAACGTGGATATGACGGATGACGTCGGGGACTCCGGCCATGTTGGCGATGCGGTCCGTATGCTGACATCTGACCCACTATCACCATCCGATCCCTTATCAGAGCTATTGTCAGAGCCCTCCTCGAGGAGCTGATCCACCATAAATTCAATCAACTCCATGTATCGCGCAATCGTAAGGTCATTTGTCGTTTGCTTCAGACTACGAAGTAGTTTTTTGCGATCCGATTCTCGAGGCATCTTCCGATGTCGTTGCAGAACGTTATCAATATGATGGTCACAGTAAGGTACGATGATGATGGGCGGTGGTAAGATATGAGCTTGATTTGTCATCGTCGGAGTTCTAATTATCGGCAAGTCGCAAATTTCTTACCTCTTGAAATTTCTACGATTTTAACTTTGAGGACCGCTAATGGCAGGGGAATATGTGGGTGAGAATGAGACACGCGGATGCTCCGATGAGCCAGAACAGAGTCATGAATGGAGAGGAGAACCACAAGAGGGGGATGCCGATCATGATGGGGAAAATTATTGGTAGACTTAGCGCGTGATGATCATGGTTGTAGAAGAGGTATAAACATAGACAAATAAGGACTGACATAGGGAACAACAGATAACCGGTAATGTCCAAGACAGACACAGTTTGTCAGCAGTAGCACGGACCAT